GTTCCTCATGTTGTGGTGACTCCCAACCATTTATTTACGTTGCTACTTCATAACTGTAATTTTGCTACTGTTGTAATCATAATATAAATATCTGATATGCAGAATGTATTTTCATTGTTACAAAGGGGTCATGACCCACAGGTTGGGAACCGCTATTCTGAAGAGTTTGTTGTATACAGATTCTCTCAGTTTGGATGGACAGAGTGCTATTACTTTCCTAAGGTCTCAAAACCTGGCTGAGGTCAAAAAATGCCTTTTAACCTACATGATCCCTCCCTGCTGTTTGTAGAGAATATTGGCTAAAGAGTAAGTATTTTAGCAGTCCATTCCAAAAACAACTATAAAGAAATGAGTGATTGGGATAAGTCTTGGAGGTACCTTTCAGGGTTTATACAGTTTATTGACTGGCTATGAGAGCTTTCAAGAGGCTCTTGAAATGGCATCCCAAACTGACACACTGATCTATGATATTTAGATATATTAGGAGACGATGAAATGTGGTCTGCCAGGTTGGGCTATAGTATCTAGTTTTGGGAATATAAGGAGAATCAACATCAATAACATTGGTTCCGTGGTACAAATGTGTGTTGTTAATGACAAAATAAACAGTTATCTTTGTTGGAAGATTTTTATGCACCAATACTCTCAATGAAACTGCTAGAGAATGTACTAGATTATTCGTCAAAAGGTCAACTGAAAGCACTGTTTCTAGAACATGAGGGATACATTGGAGCAGTTGGTGTAAGTATCGGGCTGCCAAATTTTAGCTACAGCATCAGGTCTCCGCTAATAATGTCATCCAAAAGGACCTGAAACCAGAGCCATTATTCCTGCATTGTTTGTCACTGGGAGCCAAAAGATAAAAGAATACCACATACTGCTAAATGCTGCCATACTAAGAGAGAACTCAGTAATATATTTCTATTTGAAATGCATTCCCTTTTATATATAGCCACTGTTGCTAGTTTGTATGTGTGTATGTGTGTGTGTGACTAAGTCTCACTTGGTCACTCTTGGTGGAGTGCCATGGCATATTAGTTCACGGCACCCTTAAGCCCTTGGGCTCAAGGGATTCTCTTGCCCCAGCCTCCCAAGTGCTGGGATTACAGGTGTGAACCACCACACCCAACCACTGTTGAATTCATAAGTGTAACAGAGCCCTTCTTCACTGAGGGGAGGAAAAAAATACACACACACACACACACACACATATATATTTAAGGAAATCTAGCAATTCCAAATTTCAGAAAATCATCTTTTTTTTTTTTTTTTGAGACAGAGCCTCAAGCTGTCCCCCTGGGTAGAGTGCTATGGCTTCACTGCTCACAGTAACCTCCAACTCCTGGGCTCAAGCGAGTCTCCTGCCTCCGCCTCCCAAGTAGCTGGGACCACAGGCGCCCACCACAACGTCCAGCTATTTTTTGGTTGCAGTCATTATTGTTGTTTTGGTGGGTCTGGGCTGGATTCGAACTTGCCACCTTAGGTGTATGTGGTTGGCGCCTTAGCCACTTGAGCCACAGGCGCCGAACCCAGAAAATCATCTTAAAGAAAAATATGAAAAACATCTCAAAGAAATGCAAATGACAAGCTGCAAAATACACAAACATATGCTTCTTTTATGATAAAAGGGAGGGGCAGGAGATGACAATATAGTATATCTTAACATTTACATAAAGAAACTGAAGGCTCGGCACCTGTGGCTGAAGTGGCTAGGGCACCGGCCACATACACCTAAGGTGGCGGGTTTGAATCCAGCCCGGGCCTGCCAAAAATAACAATAACGGCTGCAACCAAAAAATGGCCGGGCGTTGTGGTCCTAGCTACCTGGGAGGCTGAGGCAAGAGAATCGCTTGAGCCCAGGAGTTGGAGGTTGCTGTGAGCTGTGATGCCATAGCTTGAGGCTCTGTCTCAAAAAAAGAAAAAAAAGAAACTGAAAAGATACATTAAAACAATTATTCACTTATCAAAAGGAGGGGTAAAAAACGGGGCACACAACAGCAAAGGAGGAAGGTTGATTATGATATTTATATATTTATTTTAAATATTTTGAATATCAACTAAGAGAATGACATGAAGGCTCTGTTAACCAATTTGATGAAAATATTTCAAATTGTATATAAAAACAGCACACTGTATCCCATGACAGTATTAATGTACACAGCTATGATTTCATAAAACATAAATATTTTGAATCTCATAAATGTGCTACTCAAAAACTATAACACATTTATTAAAATTATAATAAAATCTCAAACAATTTTAACAGAAAAAAAAGAGAGCTCAAAACCATATTTCAGGCCCTTCTTTATAGCAATTTAAAGGTAAGATACTGATATTCAAATACAATAACCAAATAAGAAACAAATTATAGTAATTAAAGGAAATACTAAAAATTAAGTTTGTAAAATTCAAAATGACTTACAAGCAACATTTATAATTGTTTCCACTTTTAAATTATAAAACCTGATGACTGGCTCGGCACCTGTGGCTCAAGCAGCTAAGGCGCCAGCCACATACACCTAAGGTGGTGGGTTCAAATCCCCAGCCCGGCCCGCCAAACAATGATGGCTGCAACCAAAAAATGGCCAGGCATTGTGGCGGGCACCTGTAGTCCCAGCTACTGGGAGGCTGAGGAAAGAGACTCGCTTGAGCCCAGGAGTTGGAGGTTGCTGTGAGCTGCGATGCCATAGCTTGAGGCTCTGTCTCAAAAAAAAAAAAAAAACCCGATGACTAACGTATAAACATATAAATATACTAAAAGTTAATCCTGGAAAATGTAAACTTCAGATAAATGACCTGATACTTTCCTGGTGCCTACAGCTAATCAATTGAGAACTTTTAAATCACAGAGTAAAATAAACTTAAAGATTCAAAAAACAAAAAATATGTTAACAATCCAATCACAAAATGCTCACAGCAAAAACTTGATTATTACTCAAGAAAACAAAAACTGGGTTACACTAAAGACAACTGCAAGTTTATAATTCCACACTATATTTTATCATGTATAATCTATTGGAGGTATTACCTTTCATTTTTGAATGTGTGTTAATCAATGGATCAGAACAAATCCTGCAGGGCCACCATGGACGTCTCTTGAATTTTGCCCAGATGAGATCTCCAACTTCATACTTCAGGGGTGTAGACTTTTTCTTGGGTTGACACTTTAGATAGACAAAACATGGGACATCAATAAGAATAAAATCTTTTTGAAAAAAGGTATCACCTTCCTATTAGTCTTCAAGAAAGCAATGACTAAAAAATTCAGAATGAAAGCATTCCAACATAATAATTACAAAGTAAGTAGAACTAAATTATTTGGGTTTAATTGTTAACAACATAGCCTTTTATCTAGTACTAGTTCTCGATTTGTAATGGACTTATCAACTTTAATAATAAAATTAAATACTTTAATAATAATATTTATATTTTAATACTAAAAAAGTATTAATAATAAAATTAAACTGTTTTATGACAAATTTAAAACTAATAATGAAAGTAACTGCAAAGAAAAATGTTTGCTTTAGTCTGTGGATCACAGCATGGGGGGGGAGGATACAAAAATATAAATAGATTTTTTGAGACAAGAATCTCACTATGTGGCCCTCGGTAGAGTATTATGGTATCACAGCTCACAGCAACCTCCAACTCTTGGGCTCAAGTGATTCTCTTGCCTCAGTCTCCCAAGTAGCTCGGACTATAGGCGCCCACCAAAACGCCCAGCTATTTTTTAGTTGCAGTTGTCATTGTGGTTTGACAGGCCAGGCTGGATTCAAACCTGCCAGCTCCAGTGCATGTGGCTGGCACCCTAGCTGCTGAACTACAGATACCAAGTCTGTAAATAGAATTTTTAACAATGTCAAGAGACTACAGAACCTTCTTTAGGTATTATACTACATTCTTCTCAAACCAACATAGACATTTCTATTAATTAATTAACAATAATGGCTATGATGAAAAAATCCTGAAAGCTGGCTTGGTGCCCATAGCTCAGTGGTCACGGCACCAGCCACAACCACCAAAGCAGGTGGGTTCAAACCCACCCCCAACCATGACAACTGCAAAAAAAAAAAGAGCCAGGCGCTATGACAGACGCCTGTAGTCCCAGCTACTTGGGAGGCTGAGGCAAGAGAATCATTTAAGCCCAAGAGTTAGAGGTTGATGTAAGCTGTGACACCCTGGCACTCTACTGAGGGCAACACAGTGAGATACTGTCTCTAAAAAAATAACAATAATAAAATCCTGAAAGCTATATATAGGCTAGATTCTATTAGTTGTATCAGTGGAACTGACCTGGATTTTTCCCCTAGATATAACATGGAAAGCTGCATCCAGATCAGTGGTGCACCTCCAAGACACACACCATTCATACAGATGTGTGCAACTGTCCAATGCAGAGGCCCTGGCTGCATCCTTTCTCCAAAACCAATATGCCTACCTGACCTACAGTTCTGGACACCCAACAATATCTCATACCTAAATGAGCATCCATGCCTTTAATACCCCAGAAATGGTACAAATCTCCCACCTTGAGAGGAAGACAATTTTGTGTTTAGTACATGTATGTCTAAGATTCTCATCTAGTGTACCACAAAGGAGTTGCAAGTGTGCTGAAATATTTCTGAGTGTCCAAAAGAATTATCTAGGATACTAGAACTAAGAGCAACTTCTTCCACTTACTCCTTGGGACAAACAAATATCATTTTATTTAAATACCATGTCTTCAAAAAGGCTTGGTGAGCTTCTCTGCCAGACTCACTTCTCTCCTTAATGCCTAAAATAGTATCCACTTTGCACAGATTAAGTGTTCAATAAAGAGTACACTGAATAATTATTTCACTGAAATAATTCAAGTATGTGATAAATAATGCCCCAGCTCAAAGATATCAAAGATCTGGGCTCAGTTTAATGATTTGTAAGTTACTGCTCAACTTTTAAGACTCTGGTTTCAGGCTCGGCGCCTATAGCTCAACTGGCTAAGGCGCCAGCCACGTACACCTAAGGTGGCGGGTTCGAATCCCCAGCCCGG